ATTAGGATAATAGTAATTGTCAAGTGATGGTGAGCTCGTTAATTATTGTTGATTAGTTGAGATTATTTTTAGATACTCAAGAGATGAAGAAATCAAATCAATTGTAATACATTTATCAATAGAAAACTAAATGTGAGAATTTGTCAAGTTTATCTATTGATTTCTTTTGATTGTTTTAATTATACTTTTCATTATCTACCTTAATCAAGGTAACTAACCATCTAGACTATTTCTTGGTACTTAACCTTGTTTACCCTTGTTTTTGATTATTGTTATTACCTTGATGTTAATCCATCACCTTTTTAACCTTAGATAACAATTAGTTGATGGTCGACAATCAATTGATGTAAGAAAAGGACAAAAATAAACAAAGATTAAAAAATTGATTCCAATTAAGAGTCAATAAATTGATGCTTTCTCTTTTGTTATTCTGATCATGATTCATGTAGTTAATTCATTTGATTTAAATGTAATTATAATTGGAATGTTTTTCTTATGTTATTTTGGAAATAATAGTTCTGTACCCATCCTGGAACATCGGATAAACAGTTATTCCCGACATTTGCTCGAACTCGACCTCCCGACACTCAAATATCCAAATCAGTGGCCTCCGTTTTACTCAAATTCAATTGGCATAAAGTTGCTCTTCTTTACTCTCAAAGTGAATCTGATGAACGAAACTTCGAGGCCGTTGCTCGAACAGTTCAATCAACTTTGGCTGCGAATAAAATTGAGGTTCAATTTATCAGTAGATGGACAACAACTTATCATTATGGTTATACTGATAATCCTTTCAGTGACCTTGTTGAACGATCCTATCGACACACAAGAAGTAAGTCAATAATCAAAATTAATTGTCCAATTAGTTGATTGATTTTCCTCCAATTTTGTAAGATCAATTAATCTAAATTAAAATCTTGATCTATCCCTTAGTCTATGTTGTTGTAGGTCATTATTATGAGCATCTTGGATTTATGATGAGCCTCGAAGAGAAAGGTTTACTCGAGAGTGGACAATATTTCGTGGTGGGAGTAGATGTTGAACATTACAATAGCCAAGAACCACAAATCTATTTCAAAGGTAAGAGATTATCTAATAAAAATTAATCTCTTCTAATCCAATTCTCTCAACCAATCTAAAGGTCTCCTAAAAGATCAGATTAATCAAGTTGCTCAGAAAAGTTTCCAATCATATATCGGTGTTGTTTCATCGCCTTACATTGGATCTGAATCATTTTCCCTCAAAGTTAATCGTTACCTTCAAATGCCTCCGTTCAGCATTCCCAATCCACTTGGTTCATTTGGTGGCCTTAAACGGGTAAGTCCATTGGGTCAAATCTTCCGAAAGAAAAACTAAATGTCAGAATTTCAACTCAATTGGTTTATCCATTTGATTCCTGTTGATTTGTTGGAGCTAAATCAATGGAAATGAGTCAATTGTGATTTCTATTAGTTAATTGATTATGTATTAGACATCAAACTGTGATCGTTGATCATTTTCAGGAAATAATTAAACAAACAACATCTATTACTTAGTCTAGTTAGATGCTCATGTTAAGTAAGAAAATATCTGAATGGATAAATATTAAGTTGAGACGATAAATAAATCAAGTAAACAGAATCAATAAACAAGATTTAAGACCAATTATGATCAACGTAATTATTAATAGTATTGCCATGATTTATCATTTCGATGATTAATAAATTGTCTTCTTAATTGTCTAAAGGTACCTGCTGATGCCGCTTATCTTTACGATGCTGTTTTCATTTACGCTCGAGCCCTTAATGAATGTCTAATCGATGGTAATAACCATCGAGATGGTAAATTGTTACTTTCATATATACGAAATCGTCCATATAAAAGTGAGTTCCATCAACGTATTTATATTAACACAATTTAATTCATTGACTAATAATCTTAGGTGCAATGGGTTATATGGTTTACATGGACCAAAATGGCGACGCTGAAGGTAACTATACCTTAATTGCTCGTAAAAAACGTGATGGTAAATATGGACTTCATCCAATTGGAGTATTTCAAATGCCGATTAATTCATCAGATTTACCGGTAATCCAATCAATCAATTCAAGATGAACTTTGTCAAGTCAATTGTTGATCTTAATTGTTTTTTCTCTTATTATTCTTGATTATATTTTTTCTTTTCTTAAATTGTAAAGAGTCTGAATTTAGTTGATTCAGTTGAATGGGTATCTGATTATCCTCCTGCTGATGAGCCTCATTGTGGATTTGACGGTGATAAATGTAAAGGTAAAAAATCAATGGTGTCATTGATTAATTAGATTAATGAACTTTTCTTCTTTACCTTGTTCTTCCCACATTTAATGTTATATAAATTGTAAACAATTAGAACCACCATTAGAATGGTTTTTTGCCTTAATTGCGAGTGTAATTGCTGTAATGGCAATATTAATGATGATCGGTTATCGAGCTTGGATTTATGAACAAGAATTGGACAGTTTATTGTGGCGAGTTGATTTTAAAGATGTCATTGTCCGAGAAACTGTTCCAATTACTAAATTTTCAAAGGTTAATCAATAACTAATTAAACAGAACAATTATCACAACAATCATTAGAAGATTTAATTTATCTTACATTCTTTTTATTATTAATCTTCAGCTTAGATACTCTTCACAAGTTTCCCTTAATTCAGCAAGTGACATACTCGAGTTTCGTTATTGTCACTTGTACACTCAAGTCGCGTTTTATAAAGGACGATTAGTGGCCTTAAAAAGAATAAACAAGAAAAATGTTGTCATTAATCGTGAATTAAAAATCGAAATGAAATTAGTAAGTTTAATTTTTCAACAATCAATTCAATTTCTCTTCTAGTAATTAGTTCAATTAACTTGATCTTTGCTATTAAGATGAAGGATATACGACACGATAATCTGAACCAATTCATCGGTGCCTGTGTTGATGCTCCTAATATTTCAATATTAACTGATTATTGTACAAGAGGGAGTCTAAAGGTAATTAGTTAATCATGATCACAATTAAAGTACCTTTTAATTGATTGTTATTACCATTTTCAGGATGTTTTACAAAATGCTGAAGTTCATCTTGATCACATTTTCATCGCTTCAATGGTTGGTGATATTATAAGAGTAAGTTAATCAGTTGAGTTTATCAAATATTTATCGATTACAATCAACTAATTGTGTGGTTTGGATTTACTTTACATCTACAGGGAATGATTTATCTTCACGAATCAGCTATACATGTTCATGGTAATTTAAAATCATCTAATTGTTTAGTTGATAGTCGATGGGCTGTTAAAATTTCGGACTTTGGTTTGAATGAATTGAAACATGGTGAAGTCGTTAAAATGGCCGATTTTGAAAAATATTGTGAAAGTAAGTGAAACAATTAAGATCGTAAATGTACAAGATTTTTGTTAACAATTAACTGATTTCGATTAGGTTTATTGTGGAGAGCACCTGAGTTGATCCAATTGTCTGGTGGTAATTTATTTACCGGTAATCAGAAGGGCGATTCATATTCATTTGGAATGATTCTTTATGAGATTCTAAGCCGCCAGGGACCTTGGGGTGGGTGTAATTTATCAGCTTCCGAGATAATCACTTCGCTTATTAATCCAAAGCTAACAAGTAAACCGATTCGACCTCCGGTTGATTATCTTCGTGATAAATTAAGATTAACCTCTCGTTATAATGGATGTGGTACCATTAGTATTAATTCAATCAATAATAATGCCGATGATTATGGTAATATTAATAAGAATCAGTTGACCAATTATATGTACGATATTTGTATCTCTTGTATGGAATCGTGTTGGTCTGAGAATCCCGATGATAGGCCAGATTTTAAGATGATACGAAATCGACTGAAACCAATTAAAAGAGATCTAAAAAGTAATATTCTTGATAATATGTTGGACATGATGGAAAGATACACAACTAATTTAGAGGCGCTGGTTGATGAGCGAACTGACCAATTGGTCCAAGAGAAAAAGAAAACGGAAGATTTACTTTATGAGATGTTACCTAAAGCGGTGGCTGATGAGCTTCGCCGTGGACACAAAGTTGAAGCGGAATCTTTTGAATCGGTGACCGTGTTTTTCAGTGACATCGTTGGATTTACTCGAATGTCCGCTCAATCGACTCCCCTTCAAATTGTTGACTTTCTCAATGATTTGTATACACTTTTTGATTCGATCGTTGAATCTTATGATGTTTACAAGGTGGAAACCATTGGTGATGCTTATATGGTTGCTTCCGGTTTACCGATTAGAAATGGTGATCTACATGCTTCCGAAATCGCTTCCATGGCGTTACACTTGTTGGATGCTGTTCGAAAATTTAAAATTCGTCATATACCAGAGGAAAGTCTTCTCATGAGAGTGGGTATTCATAGTGGTCCTGTTTGCGCTGGTGTGGTTGGTGTTAAGATGCCTCGATATTGTCTTTTCGGCGATACTGTTAATACAGCGTCAAGAATGGAAACTACAAGTTTACCGTTGAAAATTCATGTTACCGATTCGTTTCGTTCAATTCTTGTGAAATTGGGTGGTTATGATCTGACGGAACGAGGTTTGGTTCCAATTAAGGGTAAAGGTGAACTTAAGACATTTTGGTTACTCGGAGAGTCTCGGGAAAGGTTAAACTCTCGTCGTTCAATTGTCCATCCTCGAGATTCAAAGGATCAACGATGTCACTTTAAAAGTCTTATGAGCACGATGACCACATCAGGGTCACTTGGATCGTCGACATTGATCAGTCCTGTTAGCATTATAAGCGGTGGACTTATAACTAGGAAAAGTTCACCAGTCACACTGCCAAATAGTCCAGTTCGTACAAGCCCAGTTTTCAATCGTTCCGAATCTCAGATGAGCAGAAAAGCATTTGCTAACAGTAACATCGGAGAGTAAAAATGTTCACTGAAATTGGTACATTAGAACTCAGTTCTAATCCATCGTCCAAGTTACAAAACCATTCAAATTTTCACAGAGCGAGTTTCGGTTACAAAGTGTTAACCTCTTCGTGTGAGATTAAAATGCTCCAGAAACGTTCAGTATCTTCACTTAATCGTCTTTTCCAATGAGATCGAGTCAACATCGAACTGGTTTCGACGAAACTTTCTCCGATTTCGATCTAACCGATTTAACCGGAAGGCCGAAAACATCGGCAACTTCACCATCTTTATCCTATGTAACCAAATCAACGGCATCAACATCAATCAAAGTGTCACGATTAACGACAACAAGTTCAGTTAACAATTTAATCGATGAACAGAATCGACATTTAAAGAGACAAAAAGATCGACTAATCTCAACTCGATCAGTTTCACCTAATTACATTCAATATAATTGTAGTAATAATTATAATCATCACAATCAACCTCAACATCATACTCACAATAATAGTAATAATAATAACAATCAATCTAATCAAGATGGTGATCAATCATTGAAAATGGTTTCAAGTGAATCTAAAATTTATGTTAATCGAGTTGACCTTGTATTAGAACCGTTCAAAAAGTTTCGAGGTTCTTTGAAGGATATTTTCTATTCAAATAAAAAGTTATCTTCCTCATCATCATTACAATCATCAATTGGAATCCATGATATATCAAGATCAGAAAGTTTCCCTTTCCTTTAAACAATTGTCATCAAAATAATTAATTAATCAACCGAAAGAAAATGAAATGAAACAATTTGTAAATAAATCATTTACATTGTGTGATAATCAAATTGTCACAATCAAAGTGTCTTAATTGTAATAATAACAATCGATTGGAAAATCAATAAAATTGATTAACTTGAGAATACGACATTGTATAGTTAATTGCTCGTTTCCTTCGATGATTAATTGATTGGGGGAAAAGCGTTTCAGATGATTAATGTTCTATTGTTTTTGATTGTTCGAAATAAAAATATTGTTCGATTGAGATGGGATTCGAACCCACGCGGGCAATGCCCATTGGATTAGCAGTCCAACGCCTTAACCACTCGGCCACCCAATCCGATAAAACTCAGAATTCTAATATTTCAACTATTTAAAACTCGAAATCTCAAAATTGACCTCCCAACTTTCGTTATTAGATTAATTATGATCGACTAACCTTCTCCTGCAATTTGAATTTCTATTATAAATTATTGAGCAATGGTCAGTGAAAGTGACTGATCATAGACTCAGGGAATGATTATGATTAGTGGGGAATAATAATCGAAATGAAATCGAACATTTTTACAAATGAAAGTCTGAAATTTGACAAAGCGACTGAATATAAGTTTGTCAATGTTCATTATCTAAAAGTTGGTTAACTTAATTGTCGAAAGAACTTTTGTTATTATCGTTGAATTGATATTGAAAAACTTGAGAAAAGTTTTGTCATTTTCATGGGAAAATATCGATACTTGGACTGTTTCTTTTTTCGCGCATTTTTTAAAATGAAATTTTCTCCAGCCCTCTTCTTATTTTCGTTTGCTTTCCTTTATATTACTTAATCATCTTCCATCAATACACAATGTACTTACAAATTTCATCATAATTAAAAGTTCTTTCAAAATTTCAATCGATTGATTATTCACAGAGCAATCATGTTATCAACCTTTTCCATGGTCATCATAAATTGATACTCAATCAATTTCCTCTTTCCCCAAGGTAAATTAACCTCGAAAAATTTGATCCAAATTAGAAAGATAAACAAATAACGGCGAGTAGAAAAGTCCAATTTTTCGTCAATTCGTCAAAGAAAAAAGTAAAACAAAAGAAATCGAAAAGTTGAAACTCGATCAATTATCAACTGACCGACTCATCGATTCTTATTGGTTAAAATTCAAAAGTAAAACTTAAGCCACACCAAAGCGATCACGAGGATCTTTATTAACTTTGTTTTCTTTTTCTTTATTTTATTTTCTTCTTACCTTTGGCGATTTCGTTTAATTGAAACCTGATTTCAAGGTAAACTTGTTGAAAGTTCATTGACACAATCAGTTCGTCATCAAGTATTAATCTTTATTTTGGTGATATTCAAATTGGAATCCATGGTTTCCAATTGAGAATCATCACAATTTTGTCTTCATTTTTTTCTCTTGTTTTCTTTTGTTTTCTTCACGTGTTCTTTTCAAGAGTAACAATTAACGACAATTACAACAGAATTAAACGAAAAATTCAATCAACTGATGATTAATTATAATCGTTGATTGAATAGCTTCTTATCTTAAATTTCCAATCAATTCTCTCTCTTTTTATGTAACAATAATTTTCTATTTGTTATTATAAACATTAGATTTTATCTCTTTTCCTCTTACGATTTTTGTTTCTCTGCTCTTGTGTTAATCTAATTTCTAATTACCAATCAATTGTTTAATTATCTTTTAATCAGTTCAATTTTCTCACTCTAACCCAATAATTCATTAATCTGCTCCCTTTTTTAATCCTTCACCAGTTACCATTGGTTAACACAATCAAAAAATGTCTTCAGGTAAACAAAATGTTTTTCTTTATTCTGTACAATTAAAAATGAGATTGAATTTTCATTCTTCTCTAATTGTGATTCTCATCTAATTAATCATGTTTTCCAATTGTTTCTATTTTTTTACAGTTGAACAAAACGCCATCGATTCACTTTCAGCCGATTTAAGGTAACGTTTCTCTCTCTCTATAATCTGTTAATCCATGTTAACTATCAAGTGGATTATTACTCATCGGTTCACCTTTCGTTATCTTATTAAACTCTGTTGATCATAACAAAGTAAAGTTACATAAAAGTTACTATGTAAACATTTAGATTTCTCATCTTATTTGGTCACTAATTGTTCAACTATAAGTGTTTTGTTTTCACCTATTGTTTCAATTTTCTCATCTTCTTTTTATCTTCATTTTGTCTTCTAGTGAGTCTCTTGGATTACAAGGTGATAATGAAGAGAGTGTAACTGATCCACCTTTACATGTGCCAATTGAAAATCAATCGGAAACTGAACCTCAACAGAATAACAACTCTCACATCTCAACTATGGATTCTCATGAAAATCAATTGCCCTCATCGTCTTCATCAAGTGAAAATATCTCATCGATTGATGGATGTGCTATCAGTCGACCCTTAAGAAATTCACCTGAATCTTTTGGGTCAAGTTTCGATGGCGAATCAATTGGCGGCAATGGTGCTACTGGTGGTGGTGATATTGAATCGATCGATAGTCCGTTAGGTCATTTTAAAACCGATATATTTGACGCTGAATACCGGATGGACTATCCTCGCCGGGGAAAGTGCCTTATTTTTAATCATAAACATTTTGTCTCTGTTGCTACTAGAAATGGTACCGACATTGATGCATATATTTTGGAAAAATGTTTCGCAAGTCTTGGTTTTGAGGTTGAAACTCACCAAGATCTTAAATTTGCTGAACTTCAGGATGTCTTGAAACGAGTTTCTGGAGAAGTTGATCATTCGGATGCCGATTGTTTTGTTTGTTGCATTTTGACACACGGGGAAGAGGAAAAGCTTCATGCCAGTGATCATCAATACAGTAAACGAGATGTATATGAACTTTTCACCGGTGATAAATGTCCATCGCTCAAAGGAAAGCCTAAAGTGTTCCTTATCCAGGTAAATCCGTTTTCTTTTCTTTTCTCGTCTCAACTCTTTTCTGTGCTTAATTTATTCGCTTTTAATCTTTTTGAATTCAATCTACTCTTAATCTCCATCTTTAGGCTTGCAGAGGAAATGCGGAAGATCCTGGTACTCACTTGGACTGCCAAACTGACGCTGCAATAACGATCGCTCAACCGGCTGATCGAACTCAATCCATTCCCATTTGGGCTGACTTTTTGATCTCATACTCAACTGTTGAAGGTTATTTTTCGTATCGTAATACAAGTTCCGGTGGATGGTTTGTTCAATCACTTGGTCCACTTTTATCAACTCATGGAGCTTATTACGATTTTGTCTCAATTTTAACCCACGTAAACATGGTGGTTGCTCGAGATTTCGAAGCAAGACCAAAAGGAAAACAAATACCCCAAACTGTTCACACATTGACCAAAAAGTTGGTTTTCCGTCGGAAAAAGAATCAACCAATCAAACCATCGACAATTTCGTTCCAAGGTAACCTAAATTGTTGAAAGAAAACCATGGAAACTTGAAAGATTCTCAAGGAGCATCAAATTATCCAAAAGAAGGTTAATTTTTCCCTCTCTTTTATTTATTCTTTCACTTTGTTCTCATTTCAACATCATAATCAATCCATTTTTATTCTTTTCTAATTTTTCTTTTAATTTTGCTTTTTCATTTCATTTTTAATTTCTTAATTTCAATACATCCAATTTGTCTTTTTTTGCTATTCATTTATACTCTTTGATAAAATTAAATTTTTCGATTCATTTTCTCATAAGAAAAAGCCAATTGACCATTTATTTGGCAACTTCCCACTAATCTCTCATAAAATCAATCAATCGCCATTGAAATTTATTCTCTTACAATTTAAATTATTACAAATAATAATTACAAATCTTGATTTTCCCTGAAAATCAACACGAAAAAAGTTAAATTTGATTAACGAAAAGTAGACTAATTGCTCACGAGAGGTCACCACTTGATCGAAGCGTATCCATGGCAACCAATTGATTGCATCATTTAACCAGAAAAAAGTTAATTTTGATTAATTTTTTCAACGATCGAATCATTTTTGCTTCCAATTAATTATCGAGTATTTAAACTAATTGGTCATTGAATGACGGAACAATCTAAACCTTTTCCCATGCGGATCTCGGAAAATTTGAACCGATTTGTTGTCATTTGCTGATAAACCAAGTAAATTAATTGTTTTGTTTTCCAATAAACAATTAACTAAATCAAGAATAATCATCACAATAAATGAGTCATTATTTGTTTATCTTAAAGACGAAATGTTCATTTCAACTGAAC